ACGACTCGATCGCTGGGACAATACTTTTATTCTCCTGATGTTTCCAGATCCGCGACGGATCTGGAAACATCAGGAGAATAAAAGTATTGTCCCAGCGATCGAGTCGTCTTCTCCTCAATTACTTACGGTGACTCGCATGTTCGCTTGTATTAGGAACTGGTTTGTACATGGAATCCTCAAACCATGGCAAATATGGAATAAATATTCCAACCAGCATAAAAATATGTATCACGAACGTAAGGTCTATGGCGACTTCGAAAACAATCGAGCCCTTGAAATCAAGCCGGCATTTGCCTTCTCTGTTAATATTTAACCATTCTTCACAGTTCATGTGCAAACGTGTCTGTTTCCCCGAAAACAGTGACTACCCTTTCGTCGCCAGTATTACTCAATGACGCCCTCAATCGACAATAACAGCAGGTCTTCAAATTATTTGAACAAGAAATAAGTAGTGAATAAAATAACGGATTCTGAGATGCTGACTGCTTTCTGGAGGATAATCCACCTTGACGGATAAATGGAAAAACTGCATCACGGATGTTTTCCCGACTACTCTGCTTTAAGCTCGTTTTTGCTGGATGAAAAACTGCGTTGCTTATCCACTTGATCGGTAAATAAGGCACGAGCTCAAAGCGTAATAGGCAAGTGAGACACTCCTTAAACGCACCCTACTCATTTACAGTATTTGGACATAGACATGCTCGAAAGATACTTAACATGCACGTAAATACGGATGAAGAAAACTATTTTTCGATAGAGTACCACACTTCGCGATTGATATACGAAGTTTAACTCGCTAGTGCTGTGACGCCAACTTTCTCTGCACATCTAACAATAAAGCCACTTTGTTCCAAAGCTACATATTTTCCGACTAATTCTACCCATACCTCTCGTTATTTGTCCAGCCGTAAAATTTGACCACCTTCCCAATGTTCGTAATAGCATGCCCTCGCACTTTTCACTGGATCAAGACACGAGTGACCAATGATCGCGCTAACTTAGAAGGTTTGCACTCCGCTCCCCATAACGAGGTAGCTTTTTAGAATAAGCATGTCTGCGGAATGTTATTTTAACAATAGTGTCATCTAATATGCAGCTGGTCTGGTCAATCTGTCATGTAACTTTATTAAAACGCATTTGAACTTGTGATCGTAATAATCGCAATTATTCAAAATTTGGAGAAAAAGGTTAAACAAAACGACCATTAAAGACGAAACGTTAACTTAAAAATTGCCCGTTACTTATTAAACAGGAAACTTTGCACTTACTTCATTCCAATAAACAACGCGCACGAATTTCAAGGCATGATCTCGACCCAGAAATGTACCATTCTCGTTATTAAGAATAAAGATATCAATCTAAAGAAATTGTGAAAAGAAAAACATTGTTCAAAGAAGGCTTTGTACATAAAACAGTCACATTATATACAGTGGTGAAGGCTAGCCCTGTATATCAAGATATTCAGCAAACAAATACCAACTGCATGTTTACGGATTCATTTGTTCCAATAACTGGGTAACCTATTCGGTATTATATTATTACCTTGTTGCACAACAGTGCATACTTGTTTCAAAAACTTACTTTTGAATATGGTTAATTTAGGGAGTCGCTACTTATTCGAACATTTAACTACTATAGAACACCTCTAATGAAGGCTTGCATAAGAAGCTTCGGGCTTTTATTGCTAAGTTGTGTGTCCCAGAGAGTGCTCTTTAAAGCAATAGGTACATTTAGGCGAGAGTGCAATTAAGACCGGTTATGAAACATTACATACTGAGATGTCAAACAGTTCACTGTCGCTGACAAAGTTGAAGCCTCCACATAGTCACGCCAATGTTAGCGTGTTAGTTACCCAGTACAAATGACCAGCAAATATTGAGAGGCTATTCGATAAAGAAAGCAAAGGAGCTAAGAGGCGAATGAAAATCATGTAGTCGGTCACTTTACAAAAATACAAACATCTAGAAGAAACACCCACTGGACTGAAACTGAAATATAGTTGTAAAACAAGGGTGTGGCCTAAGGGCAGCCTTACGATTTCGAATTCTAATATCCAGAGTTTTTAAAAGAATATTAAAAAGAAAAATCAGAATATAAAATTGTCCAGAAGAGTGCCCCACTCAAATGGCTTAAAATAGTCAGAGGTGAACAAAGTCATCAAGTAAGAAGGAGTGGCATACGTCATGGAATTTCGAGATGTCATGAAGTACATGATGGGCAACGTATTTGCGGAGATGAGTAACGGTGGCCTTCGATGAGAGACGAAGAAATTTCAGACGTAATGGCTCCAAACAGTCGGACCCAGGTTCAAGTTGAATTTGGACCTGCTCGTCAAGTCTATGGTAGTAAGGATCCTGCTGGTAAGAGTGTGAATTGCTGCTCTTGTCCGGAGATTTGTCTTTCGATTTTTCAAGCGTCTTAGCACACTCGCCTATAAGGTCTGATGAAACAAGGTGCAACTTTATTCTTGAAGCTGATATGAACAGAGGTATACTCAAAATGTTCATCTTTAGAGCTGGCAGTTGTAATTGGCAAAGGACCTTATTAGTTTGTGCAAATCGTTAACGAATAGAGGTATTTTATGAAGAAGAATAAAACTACCACAGGTTACACTAAGAAACTAATGCACCGCAAGAGTCAAAGTCTTGCGTGGGTAACATACACAAAAGCAGAAGCCCAAGTAATTGGGACATAAATAAAACAAAATCCTAATGAAAGTTGAAATAAAATAATTTTACAATTTGTTTTAGGGATATGAGTTGTGGGCGAATCCGTTAAAGAGGAACCCTCACAGTTACTGTAGTTACTTCAAATAAACAGACGAGAACAAAGAAATGCACAGGAACAGTGAGACGGTGAGACACTGAACATGAAAACAGAACCACAAATCATGCTGTGAATTGTGGATGCATGATAGTTTGATTACATTCACGTGATTAATTCTACGGGCTCTACTTTCATCCCAATCAAAGACTACTCGATAAGTAAATCTCCGAAATTAAGTGGCAGCATTAAGGCAAAAGATAAAACTGGAAAGTGAGATTGATACAGAGAAAACGTGACGGCTTTTAAAGTAACCCACAATGAACGGTGCAGGATAGAAAAAACCAAACAAGAACTCACCTTCATTGGAAGGCGGCTTCCGCCCAATCGATCGATAAAATTCTGTCCTTGCGTTTCTTTCATCTAAACCCTTTAAAAAAGATGAATGACCTACTTTCTTTCAAGTTAGGAACAATTTTGTACACGATATCCTGCAGGGTCCGGTCTGCACTAAACCACAGAAAGAAAATTCGCCATAAATCTACCTTATGTAGTTGAGGGGATGACTTTGGTGAATTAAAATGCCACAGACAGGGCACGTATTATTTGCTGCGAGATAATTTACGATACATGATTTGCAAACTAAACAATTTAGAGAGAATGGAGAGCATTTACATGGGTGCAGACATTCGGTTATAGAAACGGCATCGATGAGATAACCGTTGCAAATATTGCATGTCACATGCGCATTTAAGTCTGAAAGTCGGACTACATGATTCGAGCGAACATCCTGCATCATTCCCAGCGAACGAACAGTTGTCGTACCAGTAACAACGAAGTCAAACTTGGCGCAAGCCGAACGCGCTTCTAATTGGTAAACTCTTGCTCTTGTCCCTAAGACAGTTATCTATTCTGAATCCCTGATCTGAGCTTGCTACTCTTTTCAAGACGTTTTCCGCAGCACTTCGAACTGCCATAAAGGTTACTAAATTAATTATTCTAATAAATAAACGCGTATAAGGAACCCGCCTGGTATATATTAAGGACATTCTACGAGGCGGTTACTTACACCATGGACGAACGTGTGGTGTCCAGAGTGGAAAATGTAGCAGAATAATGAATAAAAGCGGTTGGCGAGGAAACGTAAGCCTTCGATAGTTTCTCATGGGACTTATACATGTATATAGGGTATACGTGATCAATTATGTTGGCCTTTACATACAAGCGACTCGTTGGAATCAGGAGAGGGTGTGTGGGTCGATAACAGAAGGATGGTTATGTGGCTGGGAAGTTTTCGTGGAG